ATATATATATATATATATATATATATATATATATATATATATATATATAAATATATATATGTATATATATATATATATATATATATATATATATATATATATATATATATATATACCCTGTCCATCAATTATCAAACATTACAATGCACATATGGGTGGCGTAGATTTGGCAGATATGCTAGTTGCGTTTTATCGAACACCATTTAAAAGCCACAGGTGGTACCTTTCAATTTTTCCCAAATACTGGATATATAATTCTATGTGTTAACAACGCTTGGATTTTATATCGCGGAGATAATAATTTACTGGAGGACGAAGAAAATGGTATCGGTCTAAAGGAAATTAGAATATTACTTGTCGATTCCCTTCTATTTAAAAATTGAAAAAGGAGATCCGACGGAATTAATACACCGAAAAAAAAAGATTCCTACTCACGTCCAGAATATACCTGGAGAAGATGTTAGAAAAGATCTTTTTGGACACTTTTTTCCAACTTTTACAACCAAACGACGATGTCGAAACTGTTGCAAAGGACAAACAACTATGAGTTATTCAAAATGTAGAGCGAGGTTATGTTTAGTGGAATCCCGTAATTGTTTTTATGATTTTCATAACTAAATTTTTAATTTTTTAACAAATTATAATTATTACTTTTTACTTTTATTTTTTGAGTGTTCTAAGTTTTATTTAAAGTTTTGAATTTAAGCTGTAAAAATAAATGTTTGATCATCTTTGTAGTTTTATTGAATAAACTAAATGATAAAATATTATGTTATGTTACTAAAAGTAAATGATAAAATATTATGTTTATGGTTTAAACCTCTACTTTATGGTATCTGTTCATAATAACTGAAGTAAAACACAAATCCACAAAATGTAGTAAAAACATTAAACAAATCTACAATTGTTTTGCTAAAAGTCTTGATAATGCTAAAGACCCTTAGCGAAAAAAATGTAGATTTGTTTAATGTTTTTACTATATTTTGTGAAAATTTGATAATTTCCATTTAATCCAACATTATTTAATATATTGGTCCAAACGACAAATATACCTCTTGGCAATGTATCTTTCTAGATACGGAGGTATTTTTCTCATAGCCTGGCAATGTATCTATTGGTCATCAGTACTTGTTTTATAGTATACCTGGCAATGTATCTTGCGAGATACATTGTAATATACCGTACGCCTAGCAGTGTATCTTATGAGATACAACGTCAATAAAATGTCAAAAAAAATTAAAATAGAAACAAAAATGTAATTGACTCTGAAAATGGAGCCCTCAAAAGATAATATTCAGTAAGCAAAAACATTTTTCTTACAGCGGTTATGTGCGTGCCAAGTTAAGGGTTAAGAAGTAGGTAACAATATTCTAATCGGTTAAAAAACACAGTTCCAAAACGAAGCCCATACCCTCTTTGCAATCTAGAGTTAACTGGCTTTAATGCAAGTCTTTATTTTGAAATAGTTCTATATGTAGATGGCATACAGATGCTAATTATTATGTATGTCCATTTTTCTCAGACGAGAACCAAACTTTTAAGTAGTTGATTATGAAAGACTTTAATTAATCAATCTTCGTCGAAGCAGGTACAATTATATGTTGACATAATAGTAGATTAAGTTTAAATATTGTTACTTTATTCGAGCACACTTAATTTTACACTTTTATTTTACAATTTGTTATTAAAATAACTAAGTTTAACTGACCACTTTGCTACGTCGAGTATGTACGTTTAGTACGTAGTAAAAACGAAATGTACTCTAAGGTGAAATATGTATTTTACGTAGCTCGTGTAGTGCTGTCTGACTGCGGACTAGAGAGAGAATCTGTTTGTTTACGTAGTTAACACATGATGCGAGTGCCCTACTAAGGAAAAGAGAGAGAATAAATTTGTTACGACCAAGAACCGTCATATATATAGGAACTTTTAGTAAAGGGAGGTTTAACAATCTTTTTTAAGGCTTTTTAGTGTGTTAATTCAAAGCAATAAAATGTTTTTTTATGGCCGATATTATGAATTTTTTAGTAAAAATACAACGATAAACTAGACAGGTGTGTGACTTATGTCTACAGTTTTATAAACTCAAAAGCAATAAAATCGGTATTAATAAACTATTAAAATAACTATTAAAATCTTTTAGTAAGAATAGAACATGTAGATGTCGATTCAAATTGTTTGTTTTGTACAGATGGATCAGCGTCAGAAATAATATTTTCTTATAATAGATATGAAAGGCATAGGATAGGCATAAAGATGTAGAAGGTAAGGGGAAACCACTACATTAAAGATCCGTATGGATATCCTTGGAATAATTATCTTATTCATAAAATAGCGACATGGAACGTCAATAGTTTGCTCATCCCAGGAAAGTTACATAACCTGCTCAAAGAAATGCGGCGCCTAGAACTGAAAACAATAGATGTAAGTGAATTGAGGTGGTCTGGCTCAGGTATTTCTCACAAAGACAACTTTACAGTGTACTATTCCGGTAGCGACGCCACAGATAATTACCACAGGCATGGAGTTGCGATAGTGCTTGATAATATAATTGCGATGTCTGTTATAGATAACATACCCGTTTCAAACAGAGTAATCATAGTGAAGTTAGCCATCCAACCTATTAATATAATCTAATCCAAGTTTACGCAGTCACATCTGATAAATCGGAAAGAGCGTTTTAGATTTCTATAAAGACATAGAGGAAGTATTAAAGGTCACAAAGAGAAACGATATCAACATCATAATGAACGATTTTAATGCCAAAGTCGGTAGGGATAGATGAGGTAATGTGGTCGGTGATTTCGGTCTGGGTTACAAAAATGAGCGAGAAGAGTTACTAATTGAATTTTGTAATGAGCAGGATTTCGTCATATCCAATATGTGGTATCAACTCCCACCAAGAAGATTGTATACATGGCGAGCACCAGGAGATCGTCCAGGTCATATGATACGAAATCAAATTGATTATATCTTGATAAACAAAAGATTCTGCAACTATATAAAAAGAGTGTCCGATTACCCTGGTGCGGAAATTTCGTCTGAACACAACCCCCTAATAGTGAATGTAAGGCTTCAATTCGCAAAAGTTAAAAGCCATCTAATCAAAAATACATAAACACTAGAGAATTAATAAGAGATGAAGAGCTTAGATCTACATACAGTAAGCACATCAACGAGAATTTGAGAAACATACAAGGAAATTGCAAAGAGGAAACCTGTGAGAAAATAAAAATAGCTATAGTCGAGGCTGACGAAGTAGTCGCAAGTAAAATAAAAAAAAGTCACAAAAACGAGTGGATGACGGAAGAGATACTTGATCTAACGGATCAACGCAGACAGTACAAAATACATCAGAATCAACAGGAATATAAGGAAATCCAACGGACGATAAGGGCAAGAATTAAAAACGCAAAGGAAAGCTGGATGAAAGAACGTTGTGAAGAATTGGAATCACTACAAGAAAAAGGAGACAGCTTTGGACTACATAAAAAGGTCAAAGAAAATTTCGAGTATATACAAGAAACAACATGAGACTCGATTGAAGACTGATCGAGGAAACTACGTTTATACCCAGGAAGAACTAGCTAAAATCTGGACAGACTATGCTTCGACTCTCTTTGCGGACAATAGACCGAATCTGCCAACTACTAACTTACACACGGAAAATTTATCTGGCTCTCCCATTATTAGCGCCGAGGTGGAGAACGCTATAAAAGTAACAAAACTTATTAATTAAAGGCCCCTGGACCAGATGGAATTACTACGGAAGCCGTAACATACTGTTGGAAGATGATAACATTGACATGCTGGTAACAATTTTCAATGCCATATATAACACCGGCTACATTCCAACGTATTGGCTTTATTCTACTTTTATAATGATCCCCAAATCACAAAAAGCGACAAAATGCAAAGACCACAGACTGAGTCATTTGCTTAAGGTGTTTCTTCGCATCAGTTGATGTTAAATAAAATAAATACCGTAGAAAAAATATATGGCTTGAAGATAAATGCTGGAAAAACTAAATGCACGACAATAAGAAAAAACGCACTTTTAAGAATACAACTGCAAGAAGATAATGCTCCAATAGATCAAGTGAAAACGTTTAAAATACTTGGGAATGATCATAAATGACCAATGGGATCCTCAACAAGAAATAAAATGCCGTACCGAACAAGCAAGACAAGCATTTATCAAATTTAGATTGCTACTATAAAACCGCAATCTTTCCTTTAATCTCCCCTACAGGATGGTTAAATGCTATGTATGGCCCATATTGTTATACGGCATGAAAACATGGACGTTAAGAGTACCTTCCATTAATAAGTTGGAGGCCTTTGAAATATGGACGTTGCGAAGAATATTCCGCATATCATGGACAGATAGGGTGAGAAACGATGAAGTCTTAAGAAAGGCAAATACTGAGAGAGAACTACTCAATTTTATCAAGGTACGAAAAATTGGATACCTCGGCCATATTCTGAGAGGAAAAAAATACGCAATCGCTCAACTAATCATCCAGGGGAAGATTGAAAACAAGAGAGGAATAGATCGCAAACAAATGTCGTGGCTACGAAACATAAAGAACTGGGTAGTCATAAAGAACACTGGCGATCTTTTGCAGACGGCAAAAGACAGACGTCTGGCCTTAATATAATTCGAAAACGCACTATAGGTGCACGGCATTATAAGAAGAGGAAGATATGAAAGGGTCAACTCATATTGTTTTTTTTTAAAGATTGACGAGTGAAGAAGGGTCGAGGTAATACTATTTGAGAGATTTATGAGGTAAAAAACGTTTGAAAGACATTTAAGGAAATATAAGCATTTACAAATGAATATATTAAAGAGGCGTACTCTCTGCTATTAAATAAGAAATATTAGTAATATATGTTATAAGCTGTAATATTTTAAGAAAAAAATGTATGTAAGAAAGTAATATGATATGTTACAAGCTGAACACTAATATCTTGGAACAGGATATTAAAAACTCAACATCCCATAATGCATTTTATTAATATTTTCGAGATATTTACAAAAAATCAGAATGGATTGTATTTTTCCGTGGCATAAAGAATATCCAAAGCCTTCATAAACGCTCTGTAATCAACTTCGTCCCTCATGCCTCTCTGGAAGCTGAAACATTTGCAGATGACGTCGAATTCATTTCTTGATATCAGCCTGTCCATTCCTCTCAAAGTAAGCGCTTTAAGGAACGCTCTCTGAGACACTGTGCCGCAATTTGTCTTGTCGAAGTCCTGAAACACATAAAAAGTTATATAAGTGAAATGACAGCAACCATCGATTATGGTCGAGTTTAATGTCGTTAATAATAATATCCTCAAAAATGTTTTTTCTCCTTCCTTGAAGACTCCTCTTACCGACAAAATGATCGAAAGCTTGTCATTGGTAAAGTTAAAAGAGCACATTTGAAAATTTAAATCGTTAAAAAATTAAACAATTGTAGACCTCCACTCCCAAAGTTATCACTGAATTTAGTTTCCGAATTAAAAAAATGGCAGTCTTGATTGTAGAGATTTCATTTATTTATCGTCCTTTATGACTTACAGACGAATAACACAAATTGAATTTGCGATCGAGTAGATTTACAAAAGAGTCTTCATTATCACACACAACCAATATTTTCCCACCTCTCATGTCCATTTTATGGGCCAATTAGTCAAGTATTGTTTATTCCGAATTTTATAAATGAGCTCCATCGATACACAACTCTTGCGGCCTGAACGTCCTTATTTTGTTTTCCCTCGGGTCGTAACTTTTAATAAGAAGCCACCCTATCGGAAAAGAGATGAGATAGAGCGAATTATTTTGGCACCCTTCAGTTATAGAGTCACAACGTAATACGTTATTGTTTTTCTAAAATGGTCGTTCCTGAAACAACTATTTTAATCTTATTCACTGCCACTCTAAATAGCCATACCAATCTTGGAAGTTTTTTAACTATCAAGTCGATATTAGTCCTGGAGTGCGTTTGTCTGCTATTTTTCCTTGCATAATATTTTGTAAAAAGTTCTAATTAAGGCATTCCATTACATGCCCGAAGTTATAATATTTAGAAATAAATGTGTGGTTTCAGAAACAACCTTGGAACCAGAGAAGCACTCTTTAGTTTGCAGTTCATGGTTCAAAGATGTAGGTATATAGAACAATCAGTATATATGTGTTTTATCGACTTCGAAAAGGCCTTTGGCGGAGTAAACCATGACAAACTTATAGGTGTCTTGCAACAGATGGGAATTGATGACCGAGACCTCCGTTTTATCAAAAATTTGTATTGACATCAATGTGCAAACATACGAGCTGGACACAACACGACGGAAGCAGTGGAAATATAACGTGGAGTGAGGCAAGGATGTATTCTATCGCCTCTACTTTTTAATATCTACTCCGAATTTATTTTCAAAGAAGCCTTAGTTGAAGATTCTTCTTCTAGTTCCATGACCGTTATCGATGGTTGGATATCATGTTGGCTACCATATTCGCTATCGTGACTTTATTGACAGCAGCTCTAAATAACGATGTAGTTGATTTTCCATACCATTGCCTTAGATTTTTCAGCCATGATGTTCTTCGTCTACCAGGACCATGATTACCTTGGATCTTTCCCTGAATCATCAGATGTAAAAGATCATGTAAGTAACCTTGGTAAGGTAAGATAGTTGAAGATACAGGCATTAAAATCAACAGAATTAATGTCAACAATCTCAGATATGCAGACCACACGGTACTTATTGCCTCCAATGAAGAAGACCTGCAACGACTTATAAACAGGATAACCGAAGCATATGATAAATATGGGTTAAAACTTAATACTTCTAAGACAAAATTTATGGTTGTCAGCAAAACGGAGTTACAACCAACGAACGTCAGAGCGTATGGAATAGAGTTAAAAAGAGTTCACAATATTACCTACTTGTTTGCAAACATTAACGATAACTGGGATATAAATAAAGAAATAAGAATACGCATTGAAAAAGCCAGAGCCACCTTCTATAAATTAAAGAAAATTCTAATTAATAGAGATATTACGTTAAACCTTAAAATCAGATTAATACGCTGCTACACATTCTCCACATTGTTGTATGGTATGGAGAGCTGGATCCTTACAGACATTAATAAAAAATTAGAGGTCCTTGAGATGTGGATTTATCGACGAGTATTGAGGATAAGTTGGATTGATCGAATAAGAAATGAAATAGTTTTACATCGAATGAAAAAGAGCACAGAAATAACAAAAACGATAAAAATTCGAAAGTTACAATATTTCGGTCATATAATGAGACATCCAGAGAGGTATAACCTTCTACACCTCATAATACAGGGTAAGATCGCTGGAAAGAGAGGCCCAGGCCAACGAAGAACATCCTGGCTCCGAAATCTTCGAGAATGGTATCAAGAAACCACCGCTAATTTATTTAGAGTCGCCGTAAATAAAGTTATTATTGCCAATATGATCGCCAACGTTCGATAATCGGACAGGGTACTGAAAGAAGAAAGGTATTTTGAATTTTTATCAAAAATGTCTAGCAAGAGAAATGTAGAGTATTCCATAACAAACTTTAAAGAACAATATTGAGATACATTTAGATTTAAACTTCTAAATATGCAGGGTGTTTCATTCTAACTGTGTCAACTAAGAAAAATAGCGAATTTTCTAGAAGTGGTCTATTACCAAAAATTATTTTCGGGTATACAAGATGTTGTATATGGCATGATTTAGGTGGTTTTTAATAGACCACCACCTTCAATATTACACCCATTCGCACTTATTATTATTACCGTACTTTTCTCAAATGCATAAGTAATATACATACATATTTTATATACATACTTTGATTTGTATCCAACAGTTTTGTAAATATTATATTATTAAAAAAAAAACAAAATGACAGTATTCGATTTTGATTTGATACAGAGCAGCAATAAGCCGCATATACGTATTTCGATCTCTTTAGATCTCCTCAGTACGGTATAGTTACTACTACATATCAAACCAAAATATTTCCCGTCGTAGATTATAGTTATTAAAAATAACTATTTACGGACGTAACTACGCCATCTAAGAACAAAAAGAGAAATCATACGATTTCTACCTGACGAAATCGAATTCAAATATAAGCCGCCGTGCTCCCTAAAACTTGCGAAGCAAACAGCTTGATGAATGAATCGGCAAGGGAGTCTAAAAATTGCACTCCAAATGCCGTTCATCATGGCCTATATTCGTAGTGAATTCGATTTCTGGTACTCCAAATGAAGTAAACAAACAAAACAAAATGACGGTATTAGATTTTGATTTGATACAGAGCAGCAACAAGCCGCATATACGTATTTCGATCTCTTTAGATCTCCTCAGTACGGTATAGTTACTACTCCATATCAAACCAAAATATTTTGGAGTATGGAATAGTAACTATACCGTACTGAGGAGATCTAAAGAGATCGAAATACGTATATGCGGCTTGTTGCTGCTCTGTATCAAATCAAAATCTAATACCGTCATTTTGTTTTGTTTATTTACTTCATTTGGAGTACCAGAAATCGAATTCACTACGAATATAGGCCATGATGAACGGCATTTGGAGTGCAATTTTTAGACTCCCTTGCCGATTCATTCATCAAGCTGTTTGCTTCGCAAGTTTTAGGGAGCACGGCGGCTTATATTTGAATTCGATTTCGCCAGGTAGAAATCGTATGATTTCTCTTTTTATTCTTCTTCTTATGGCGCCGTCTCCTTTCGAAGGTTGGCGATCCAAATGGCAATTGTAGTTTTGGAAACTGCTGCGCGAAAGATTTCTGCGGATGAGCGGTCGAACCATCTCCTTAGGTCTTTCAGCCATGAGTTCTGACGTCTTCCTACTGATCTTTTGCCTTGTACTTTTCCTTCCAGTATAACTTGAAGTAATTTATATTTTTCGCCTCTCAACACATGACCCAAGTATTGCATTTTCCTCTCTTTGATTATTCTTAGTAATTCTTTTTGTTTACTCATTCGACGAAGTACCTCAACATTAGTAACTCTTTGTACCCATGGAATTCTCAATATTCGTCTGTATACATACATCTCAAAGGCATCTATTCTTTTTTCTATTTCGGAGTCCATTTCTCTTTTTATTATATTATTCTTATTCTTATTCCAACTAAAATCCAGAAAATTTAACCAATAATCAAAATTAATTAAATTGTGTTTAATGTAAAACTGTCATAATAAAAAAATCAAAAATCTTTTGCGTCACATCCATAGGTGAAAAGTCAACGTAATAGCTGGTGTACTTTTTGAGATATTCAATGTTTTAGAATGATCTACCTAAAATCTAAAACTGTAACAATGTGACTTTAACAATTTAATCAGAAATCTAAAAATGTAATATCAGAAAGGGTAATCTACTTAAAGCAACAAAGTAATATTATGCCCTGTCTACAAGAAACATCTTGTACAGTGACTTAAAGTACTTAATTAAGCTAATTTTTTTCTATTTGATCAGAATGATCCGCCACCAGTGCGAAATACCTAAAAAAACGGTATAAAATCTACCAACCGGTTGTATGACATTTAGCCTTACACCCTTTCGTCGAACAAGTCTACCAAAAGGCAATTTGATTTTAGAGTGTTTAGCAATTGAAATTTGAAATTATTTCTAACTATTATTATTCGTTCGCGTTGGCTTAAAACGTAATTAATGAGCAATTCACTATCCATGTTAAAGGAACAAGAACAAATGAAGAAAATTTTTTCTTTTCGCATAGTTTTAGGTAGCCATCAATAGGATTTTGTGAAATTCCCAAATAAAAACCAATGATTTGCATTTGCATGTCAAATTACCAAATCTTAGCGGTTTGCAAGAGATGTTCTATACCTGCCACGGGGTGCAGGTAGCCCAGTGATGAGTTTACTAATCTCTCGGGGTCTTTTTTAAAATCACTAGTTTTATGACGGTGATGAGTTTGTACCATGTACAGTTCCCGTCATATAAAACTGGTAGGTACACTTTTCTTCCCAATGTAAACCTGTGTTCAGACTTGGTTCGTGGTGAATCAATTCGTTGTTGCCATCACAGATAACGAAATTACACTAAATCTAAATAAAAAAAAAACGTTAAAAAATGTTTAAAGTTTTTTATATAGGTATTATTATTTTCAATAACAACAAAAAACGCTATCGAATAAATTAAATAACCAGAGAGAGGGTTGCGTTAATGCCCAAAATTTTGAAAGGATCTTTAAACGTAGAGTATTGGCA